GAGCCGCGGCGGTAACCCGTGCCCGCCGCCTTCGGGGTGGGCGGGAGGCGTTCTGTACCTAGCTTCGAGGTAACGCTTAGGGCCCGGCATGCAAAAGAGCCCAATAAATTAGCTTAATTAACATGCCGTCTGTGGGTGTCTTTGCAGTTGCCTGGCTTCGGTTCGCTTGCGCGTTGCCAGTAATGGTTTTCACTTCGGTTTACCCAATCCGGCGTGTAAGCCGAAGCCAGAGGCGGATGGTTTCCTTTGTCACGCTGCTGCGTGGAATCGTTAAGCGTTTTTAACAATTTATCATTTCAGGATCAGGATGGCCAGACAAGAAGGGCAGCTGCTGATTAATTTGAAAACGAGCTATCCCGATGAGGTATTGAGATAGTATTGACATTGAGATCTTGAGAAAGTAGTTTTAGGGAGAGAGATCCAGAAAGAAGACCTCTTGCAATCTGAAACAGCAACGAAAGGAGCTTTCTGGGGCGGTGTGTGCGTTGCTGGATTAGGAGTGGTGAGGATGGAGCGCGAAGACAAGAATTGCTGCTGCCAGGAGCTTTCAGGAGCAGGGCATCGGCCTGGACGTAGAGCAGAGCCTCAGGGGCTGCATCGGCTGCACCGAGACCAGCGAATGCTTCACGTGGATGCCGCAGCGGCGGAGCCACTTGCTGCTTTTTGTTAAAACATGGAGCTGTGGCGGCCCAGAGCAGAGGAGTGCGTCCGCAAAGCCACGTATCTGCGGCTTGAGCACTGGTTTGTCCCTTCGGTTGTCCCTATGACTTCAAGCGATGGCGCTGCATTTCTGAGGAGCAGGAAAGCTGTGCCAAGCGCCGGGATGAGAACGGGCCCAGCGCTAAGAAAGCTCTGCTGAATTTTGATGGGGGAGCAAAGGAGACCCCTCTGAACGCGGAGGAGCACAACATCCAAGATGCCGCTGCCAGGTTTTTAAAGAGAGACAAACTGATGTTTGAGGGGGTGCTGGATCTCACAGAGATGACACGTATTGAATTCAAGAACTTCTCTACAGGGAATATCTTGGAATACATTAGAAAAACCCTTCCAAATTACATCTCTGCCTTTGCAAACGCTCAGGGTGGTTATTTATTTTTTGGAGTGGATGACAGCAGTAAAGTCATTGGAAACTGTAGTGGAGTGAAGAAAGAAGCTTTAGAAAAAACAGTAGCTGATACCGCGGGCTCGATGCCCGTCCATCACTTCTGCGGCTCTCAGGCTGACGTGCAGTTTAAGACTTCCATCCTGAGCGTTTACGACAGAGCAGAACGCTTGCAGGGCTACGAACGCGCTGTGCGAGCTGAAGCGCTTTGCCGTGCTGTTTTCCACGATAACCCCGAATCCCGGATTGTGATGGGCGACACAATCGAAAGACGGAGCGTCAGAAAATGGACGGAGCTCGTGACAGCTGCAGACCCGGGTAAAATCTGCATTTCCATTGGTGCCAACTTCATTTCTGCCTTGGTTTGTAAACTTTCAGGAGGAAAGACCAACTTTTGTTCTGTGTTCTCACCAAACCCAGAAAAGGGACTTTGGCCCACGGCACAGCCACAGGCACCAGGGGTGACAGTACGGTAACTGGCCTCCAATGGGAAACATTCGGGGAAGCATTACTCTCTGAACTGGTTCAGATGGAAATAGCCTTCCTCGGGATCCCATATGCCCCTAAATGAAGTGGAAAGGTTCAAAATTGCCCAGGAGCTTCCATTACTGTTAATGAGAGTTACAGAAGACTTTTGAAGCTGGCTTTGTCTGTTAAGATGCTTAGGAGGGAGTGATGTCCTCATGGAAATCTGGTCCCTTGAAGTGCCTAAACAGGGTTTATTTTGAAAAACAAAGAAGTACTTGCTGGTGCTGATCCCCATGGAGTGAAATCCCCAGTGCTTGATGCCCGAGCAATGATTAATCGCCATGCCCTCGTTTGATCTGTGTAGATCCAGCATCTTAGCACAAGTTGTGTGCCAGCACTAAAGTCAAATCATCCTTGTCGCTGTCATGGTGGTGTCAAACTGACCTGCAACTTTTCTTCTCCTTCCCCTTATCAAGTACTAAGAACATCTGTAGTGAAGTCAGCAGCACTAGGGTAGCTACTGAAACCCGGTCACTCGTCTTCCGAGATCAGCTCGAGGGTGAGAGAAGTCCTTTCAAGTCTGCAGCTCGGCAAGCAACGCGCAGTACGCAGCCGGTTGCAAACCGCTCCCCCTTCCCGAGGCTCGCGCGCGTTTCAGATGTCTACCGAAACGTCACTTTGCACACGCGGTGTGGCTCCGTGGGGGTGAAAGGCTGTTTTGAAGGAGCAGGGGTGCAAGGCTTTGCTTGTTTTAAAGCATATTGTCCCACTTCACCGTGAAGTCCTTCCCCTTCAAAATCTACATCCTGCGTTTTGTTCCATCGCCCCCCAACGAGACCTGTATGGCGCGTCCTAGAGAGTTTATTCTGACCGCAGATTTGAATAAGAGTTTTTCAGTCTTAAGATGAAACTAACCCTCCTTTCCTACAAGTTCCCTGTAACACAAATTTTCCTGGAGTGTGTGCCCGTGGCAGTGACTGCGTGAGCAAGGAATACGCTAGCCGAAGGGGACCTCCCGTCTCCGTGGAGCCCCGGCCGTGCCAGGTGGCTCCGGCCTCATGGATGAAACCTCCCCTGTGGCCCTGGTCTGTGCTTAGAGCCGGGATGTGGGGTCTCTGCAAAGGGCAAAGTCACACGAGAGACAGCGAGGGCAATGCTGAGAGGAGGGGAACGAAGCAGCAAGGTCTTTTGGAGATGTGCGTCTACCGAAGAGAGCCGTGGTTCCCGTAGGGTGCTGGTGTGCTGAACTGGCACGTCAGGCATCTCGTACCTGCGCACTGGGGTCTCAGCAGGCTCGTCCCACGTGGGGTCTGGGTCTTGCCTTTGAACCGTAAAGCCATCTATGCTTTAAGCCCTCTCTCCTCTACAGCACATCAAGATCCTGCCAGTTGGACGCGATACTGTCGGTCTTGACTCTGTAGGCAGCATTTTCTTGAGTAGGATTGCGAAGGGAGGTCTTAAATTAATCGTTTTAGTTACTCTTCAGTGCTGGGTTTTAAAAGTTCATATGGAAGTATTTTGATGGATATAACATAATTTTTTCTTCCTCCAAGATCTTTCAAATCTGGCTGATGAATTTGAGAAGTAGCTCAGTTTGTCCTCCTCTTATCAAGCCAGTTTATTCAAAAGCTGGTCTCCAGTGTGTGTCTGAACTCCAAGAATGCCTCTACCCAGGTAAGCTGTTTATTCTGGATATATTTTTGAATTTAAGATTGTATCTGACAGAACTTCTAGGAAGATAATGTGATATAAGATTTTAGGCACACAATTGTTAGGGTATTTAAAAGATGCAACTGCTCCAAGAATGTGGATTTCTCTGATTTTTCAGGTGTTTCAATCTCTCCTCCTATTTTTCCCACTAAGTATAATCCCTAATGCACACAATTGCCGAGAATATACCTGGTGTTCCAGGGGTTTGAGCACTGTCTGCCCCCTGTTATGCTCAAAAATCTTCTTATGGACAACGAGGAGAGAGAATAATTTATTTCTAGTACAACTGAAATCTAAGTAGTCTAATCAAGGAATTATTATTAGTCAAGATCTAATTATTTCAGATAAAGAAAAAAAATACAATAAATGAATACCACTGTGAAAAAAGTAATGATGATGATGATGATGATGATGATGATGATGATGATGATCATCATCATCATCATCATCATCATCATCATAATAGTTACCTGCACGTTTCCTAGCATCCACCCCCGATCCTGGCGTTACGCGCAGCCTTCCACCGCCACTCAGGATCCTGCTGTTGATGGCTCCGGTCTGCTGGGGGTCGTTAGGGCGCGTCGTCAGCATCCCCGGTTCTTCCATCGGGAGTACGTAGTTGATGTTAATGGTTTCTTTTTCCTACTCCAGGTCACTTGCTGTACGTTTGCTAACGCACTTTTACACCTTGTTCTTTCTTCACCGGTCTGCAATTCACTGTTCCACTGGAGTTCAGGACACACGGCGTGTTTCACGGTACTTCTTCTCTGTTACCCTTAAAAACAGTTTTGTTCAGCTCCGAGGCTGCATTGCTTTACCCGACCATCTGAGAGCTCTTTCTGGCCTCAGGATCTCCTGTGCTCTGTCTCTTGCCACCCCACACCTGAATTCAGCCCTGCATCCCGTATGCCACATCTCAAGACCGCTGCTGTCCTACCAGCCCTGTGCTTCTGCGCTCTGCATCGTCATGTTAGAGGCGGAAAGATCTCACCCTGTGCCGAAGAGCTGCTTGTTGCCGCTTTCTGTATAAATTGACGGTTGTTATCCACAGCCACCTGGTTATTAGGAAAAATGCTATTACAGGTAAACCAAGTGAAAACAAAGCTCCAAACAGGTCAACGAAAATTCAAACAAAGGAACCAGCCGAGCCTCCCACCTGAGGCCTTGCACACTCAGCGCACTCCCGTGGCTTGGTACTAGCAGTGCCGGGCGCCAAGCCTTTGGGTGTCCGATGTCGGATCGGCTTAGCCGTTTATCTCACCCAGTGAGTTAATTCTGCCACCCCGCTCACTGCTACAGGGGAACTTCAAGCTGGGACACACCAGGGAAAGTAAAGCTCAGCCCGTACTGTGCAGGGGTGGAGAACCTTGCCTTGGTTTTATTTTTTTAGGTGAAGACTTTGATTATTTCAGAAACACTTCAGCTATAAAAGCAGCGATGGTTGCTGAGCAACAGATACTCCCACATACCAACCCCTGACAGACAAGGGAACAGAAGTAGCCAAGGGCAATGCCAATCCGATAATGTTCCTGCAGAGCAGGGCTGTGGCTTGAGCTCGGGCTCTGGGACACATGGGAGAGATGTGGAATTCCGCATCCTTGTCCAGTATCGGGACCGCTCCAATTGGCAGCAAACAGATACTTTCTCATTAAACATAGTCCATGGATTTTTTTTTCCAAGTTCTGACCTATAGATGTATGTATTAATTGCTAATTTTTCTAATTATTTTTGTCATTTTGCTATCTTTTCACATCTGTTTTCAGGATTACTCTGATGATTGATTTACCGATCGGTTCATAGTGTTTTGGTACAGGATATGCAATTGCTGTTTCTTGATGAGAATGTCTTTTATTAAATGGAAGGCTGTGACACAGTGTAAATGTATGCTTGCATTTGAGATTTGTCTGTGTTATGGATGTGCATAGCTGTAATTTTAACCTGTAAATTTAACAGATGATTCGTGTTAATATTTTTTTAAATTACTGTTGACTCCGCTACGCTGAACACGTTTAAGACTCAGCTGGACGTGGCGCTGGGCCATCTCATCTAGGTTGTGCTGGAAAGGTTGGACCAGATGATCCTTGAGGTCCCTTCCAACCTGGGATTCTGTGATTATTTTGGAGTAGCACCAAGTTTAGCACTGGGATGAGAGGTGTCCTCACGTATTGCCCTCTGTCGAATAGGAATGTGTATCTACACATCAAGATGATGCTCCTAGGTGCGTTGTGTTTTACCAGTCCGGAGCGTAGGAGATGCTGCAAGCGGGCTGCTCCATCTGGTTCAACCACCGGTCTCTCGCTGTGGCAGCAGCATATCCTTCAGAGAACACCTAAATAATGAGAAAGCAGACAGAAAGGAGGCAGGTCCTTCCAAAGAGACTTTTCCTTATTCCATTTAGAAGTCAGGCATGCCTGAAGTGTGGAGTTCCCACCTCTTTTATTCATATAAAAAATCCTTACAGATTTACCACCAGGTATCATGGGGATGCTGAAATTTTTATTCACATTGAATCATTTACTTTGATGACCTCATGGTATAATATATTCCTCCAGTAACTGGTGTGTCGAGTAAATTATTTGCTGTATTTTCTTTTTCGGATTTTTCATTTCTTTTTTCTAGTGGGTTCTAAGGAAACCAAATGGAAGCCAGAAACCATCTGCGCCGACCTGTTCTCAGAGTATCCTGCATTAGAGGATTTAATGAAAAAACAAATCCATCCACTTAACACGGGGGTACCGATATTTTCAAGGAGTTGGGCTGTTGACGTTGGATTGCGGAAAAAACAGGATATTGTGTGTGATGTTCTTTTAGTAGCTGAAAATGCATATCCAGTATTGTATACTGTAGTCAAGGACGCCTCTTTGGCTGAGTCTGGAAACTCGAGAGAAGCTGCTTACGCGTTAGAGCAGAAACTAGTCCATGATGGGGGAGATGCTTCCAAAGTGTGTGTGATTCCTCAAATACTGCACCTGAATGGCACAAAGAACCAGATGGAAGTTGCAGAGGATGACATTCCCCAGCAAGAAAACCAAGGAAACCCTTGGTGGTGGTTACGCCAGCTTGTCCCCAAAGGATGACATCGTCCCCTGCAGGGACGTCCCCGCGCTCCTGCGTGCACCAGTGATTGTTGTGCTGCGCTTTAAGTCCTGCTTAAGCGACGATCTCGGCTGTGAGATTTTCAGCCTTCTCACTCCCAAACAGTATGAGCTGCTCTCCGAGAACCTGCACAAAGTCAAGGAGCAGTTTGTCCTTGGTCTTCCTGGAACAGGGAAAACAACTGTGGCTTTGGAGATCATTAAGAGAATAAGAAACATTTTCAGCTGTTCTGCAGAAGAGAGACTCTACATTTGCGAAAACGAAGCCTTGAAGAAGTTTGTGGGGTAAGCAGTAATGTGTATTTCCCCTTTTTTCTTTCATCCCATCCTCTGTACATACAGCACGAGCCCTGCTGATTTTACATCCGTTTGCCAAATACGTAACTTCGGCTGACACAAACACATACTAATCATCTCAGGAAAGGTGCTAGTATCGAGAGTATTATTGAGCTGAGCTCTGGCCCAGATCCAGCATTCACTGACTGCAGGGAGACTCCCACGTTCAGTGATTGCTGGATTGTGTTAGACCTTCAAAAGACGATGGCCTTAGTTTAACAGTCTACTACGGCTGATGCTGCCACCAAAAATACCCAAAAATGGCTTTCTCTGTTGCTGCCTCAACACTGCCTGTGCCGGGCCTGGTGCGAGTTCTTGTGCAGCTGTGCTAGGAACTGGCCCGTGGACCTGGGCCATCTAGACAAGGAGAGAAACGAATGCCCTTTTGGCAGAGGATTTCAGGCAGAGCAGTTCCCCAGTCCTGTTCTCGCTGCGTTTCCACTTGCGTCAGCACGGCGAGGTCAGCAGGCCGCCACGGCGGACGAGGCACCTCGCGTCGGGGAACGGCAGCCTAGCTCAGCGCCCAAGCAGCAGGTCCTGGCCCCGGCAGAAGGGCTGCCGGTCCCTGCTCACTCCGGGGAGAAAAGGGAACCCATCCTTCCCGCGGGAACACAGGCACCGCGCTGCCTTCCCTGGGCTGGGGAGCGCAGGGCGGAGGGCCGCCTCTGGGGAGCCCGGGGGTCCCTGTGTAGGAAGGGTGGGCTTGAGTCTCCTCTTAGGGTAGAGCCGACGCCAGCTGGTGGGGGCTGTGCAGCGATGCCTCCTGCGCGCAGCCAATCCGTTGGAATAACTGTTCCCACCGGGACAAAGATACGGCACGCTGCAGCTGAGATGGGAAGTTTTGTGTTTTTAGACTGTAAGCAGCAATAGCCCTCCAAGGAGGAACCCACTGAGAAACAGAGGCAGTCAGTACAGATTTGTCTGGTTGCATCTTTTTATTTACCATATGGGGGTTTTGGGGTTTCAGTTTGTTTGTTGTTTTTTTTTTTTTTTAGAGATAGGACCTGCCGGTCGGTGACACGTACTGCCTTCCTACATGGGAACTTCCCAGAAGTGAAACACATTGCGGTTGATGAAACTCAGAATTTTTGTGCCAAAGAAAACTGATACCATTGTGCCTGGGAGCTAGTCAAGAAAAAAAGTGGCATTTTCTGGGTCTTCCTGGTTTCCTTCCAGTCCACTCACCCGTATGGTTGTGGTCTTAACTTTTCAGAGCTATATCCTTGGGAATGGTTGACCAAAGTGGTCCGTAATGCCAGGCAAATACACAATGGCTGGTTTGGTCTAATGGAGAAAATCCTCCAAAACCATACCGCAGATATGCCCTTGCCCTGTGAGGTGCTGGAAGTGTTGTTTGAACAGGCTGAATGTGCCCATTCTTTGTCAGGCGACTCTGTAAGAAAAGAAAATATGGAAACACTTGAAACGGCAGAGTACGTGACCATGCAGTATATATTGTGCAGTATATATATCTCTCTCTGTATATCCAGCGAGGCTATTCCACCAGAGATATCGCAGTCCTGTGCAGTACCCGGAGTGCAGCCCAGGCGTCCAGGCGGATATCGGGACCTGACGAAAAAGACAAATAAGGAACTGCAGGGTGAGCTGTGCCTTGCGGCCCGCGGAGGATGCTTCAGCAAACGTCATTGTTCTCGACAGCATCCGACGCGTCTCAGGCCTCGAGAGGAGGATTGTGTTTGGCATAAACCCTGTCCCTGCACAAGAGGAGATAACTCTCAATCTTTGGCTCTGCGCGGCATCCAGAGCCAACACCAAACTCCATTTGCTGTATGACAAAGAAAATACGTTATTTAGAGATGTGTTTTTAAACGTTTATTCTGACCTACTGCTACGGACACCAGAATGCTTCGCTCATTTTTTGTTCGGTGATATTATAGGGCAGCCTTAAGATTTTTTTGATGCCCTTTCTGTAATCATAGAATCATAGAATCACAGAATTGCTAAGGTTGGAAAAGACCCTTGAGATCATCGAGTCCAACCGTTAACCTGTCACTGCCAAGCCCACCTCTAACCCATGTCCTCGAGCACCACGTCTGCCCGTCCTTTAAATACCTCCAGGGATGGGGACTCAACCCCTTCCCTGGGCAGCCTGTTCCAATGCCTGACCACCCTTTCCGTGAAGAAGTTTTTCCTAATATCTAACCTAAACCTAGTCTATGCAAAAAAACCCAAGAAAACAGTTTGACGTACATATTTCATCATGTGTAGGCCTGTAGGATGTTATAAAACTGGTTTTAATTAAAGGACATTGCCACCTGGAGAGAACAAATGGCTGAAAATGGCAATTGCAGAAGGAAGTCAACAATGACAAACTACTTGGATAAATCATAGAACAGCTTGGAGACTTGTACTTTCAATTCCTCTGCTCTTTAAGCTGATTGCATGTTCTGACTTGTTTCAACACTACCAGAGTGGAACCACTGGTAGGAAACACAACAGGAGCCGTCCTTGTTTACGTCCCTGCTGGTGCTGGTGCAAATGGTCAAACCTCTGCTTTTTTCAAAGGGGGGGGCGGGATTTTTCTGAATTTTCAGCCAAATCATCTCTTTTCTCATCCAAAACGAGAGCCACAGCCTGCTTTGGGGAGTGGTGGTGACTGTCTTCACCTCTTCTGGGAACGGGGCAGTGGTTTTGTCGTCCCATTGCGTCATCTTAAATGCAGGTTGCTGCCCCTGGAGGCAGCTCTGTCCCCAGCAGTAGAGTCCCCAACCTCTCATGAGCAGGCTCGCGTGTGCAACAGCATAGAGAATTGGGAACTTGGGGGGCTGTTGGCAAATTAATCTTCAGCCAGGTGAGCTCCACCTTGCTGTGCAGCTGCCCAAGTGCTAGTGCTGGCATGGGGGGCAGCGGCAATGTGCTGCCTGGGGAAGGAGGCAGCGCAGGATGACGGAATGGTTGAGGTGGGAAGGGAGCTCTGGCTTTTGAGTAGCTCCGGGGATGAAGACTCCGCAACCTCCCTGGGCAACCTCTGCCAGGGCTCAGTCACCCAGGCAGTAAAAAACCGTTCCCTGATGCTCAGAGGGAACCTCCCACGTTTCTCCAGCCTGTCGAGGTCCCGCACTTGATGCTTCTCCCTTGTGTTCCTCTCTTTTGGTAGCTGCTCACGTTTGTACCCACTCAAGCTGTCTAGAAACTGCAGTGGGTCACCAAGATTTCCTCATTCTAACTGGGACCATGGAGGCATTGAAGTCAACAAGCTGTTGCAGTACGGTGTGTATATCGACAGCCCGGCTCTTTCTGTCATGTCAAATTTGACATAAGCAGTACGGCTCTTCAAACTCTGCTTGTGCAAAACCCTGTTGAGAATCTACCACATAATTACATCTTTTCTTTCCGTCTCAGATGCCAACTGTTGCCAGAGCTTTGCCAATGTTTGCTTTGTCGTGTAGTTCCTATTATTGCTTACTCTGATATTAGCTTTTAAAAAGCTGAATAAATAGTGACATGATAATGTCGTATTTGCCCAGAAAAAAAAAAAAAAAAAGATATTTCACTGTGACTCTTGTACAATTGCATCAGCTTTCTGCTTTTCTGTAATAAATGCCTTTTTCTGATTTTGGGATCTCTAGTATTTGTGGTGGGCAGTGCTCCAGACCTGAAAATGTGAGGGCCTTGCAATGCCTGCAGGGATGGCCGAGGCATTGCCATCACAGCTAACGGTCTGAGAAAGAGGAAGATCTAACTCCTACCGGGTTTTGCACTTCAGGCCGTTAGCGTGCCAGTTTAACGTCAGCACTGCAGCGCACTTAAGCGAACGTGCGCTCCTGCGGTATTTCAACTTGCCTTGACCAAAACGTTCCCAGAGTAGCAGTGGGGAAGGAATTCCCAGCCCAGCATCCCAGGAGTGGCACGGGCGGGGAGCACCCTGTGCAGGGGGACCCTTCGGAGCGGGGTCCCCGCTGGCCGAGCTGGGTTGCAGAGCTGTGCAGACCTTGTGGGCAGTGACTCCAAAGAGGACCACGGGGCGACCAGGTTGCTGGGGGATGATGGAGTCCATCTCAGGGCTGGCTCCAGGGAAGGGACCAGAGAAGTGAAGATGCTGGCTGAGGAGGTGGTGCACAAGAAGGGAGGATACAGGTTCCCAGGGACACCTCTTCGAGAAAAGAGGTTGCATCATGGACAACCTGGGGGACTGTTTAAGATCTTTGTTGGCGACATGGACAGTGGGATCGAGTGCACCCTCAGCAAGTTTGCTGATGACACCAAGCTGTGTGGTGCGGCCGACACGCTGGAGGGAAGGGATGGCATCCAGAGGGACCTGGACAGGCTGGAGAGGTGGGCCCATGTGCCTGAAGTTCAACAAGGCCAAGTGCAAG